GTTTTGACACCCCCATCTTGGACGATTTTTATTGTTTTTTTGGCTTAGCAGAATGGCTTCAAAATTTATAGGCGTGTAGGTTACATCATAGAGAACTCACAAAAAAAAATTCAGAAAAAAAACTTATTTTTAGGCCCCGAAATATTTTTTGGCGGGGGCCGAACCTGGAGGTGTTCGGCCCCCGAACGCCCGAACGGTCGGGGGCCAGCCCGGGGGCCCCCGAACGTTCCGTCAGGTAACCCTGCCGAGCACCATTTTTTTTTTTTTTTTTTTTTAATTATTGTTTTTCATGAATTAGGACCGTTTGTCAACTTATGTGTGTCATCCTTGTACAGGGGCCATGCTAATCTTCATTCTCGGTATTGTTCCAATTTTAACGGATGCCGCGAAGGACACCAGTTGAGCACAATGGTTGAAAAAATAGCAAAAAAAAAAGTGTGGCATGCCGACTTTGACAATATCGTGTGGACCTAGGAAGATTTTCATGACCGGCCGGTCACCCGGGCATGACGCCCGGGGGGGTCTGACGCCCGGGTGACCTGGTCATGGCAAAAAAAAAAAAGAAAGAAAAAAAAAATGGCGGTGGGGTTTTTCCGCGCTCTCCTAGAGAAGCCCAAATCCGGGCTGTAAGTGAATTTTAAAGGGGCTAAAGGGGTTTAAAGGGGGGTGCCTTAGTGTGATATGGTTATTTTTTCTCTATCTTTAGTTCTGTGAGGAATTCTAATGTGACCCTCAGCCAAAAGTTGTTTGCATTGCAATTCTACACAACATTTTTTTTTTTTCAGATTTTTTTGGATTTGATTTTTTTTTTTTTTTTTTTTTGCGCTGAGGCTTCCCGGGGCCATGCCCGGGGGTCATGCCCGGCCGGTCACCCGGTCGCCAATCCGGGCATGACATCGGGACCCGGGCACCCCGGATATCTCCCTAGGTGTGGACAGTATTAGGGCGCACTCACGGTAGGACGTTTTAACTTATTTATAGAGGTATAATTGTGGGCAGACATGATTGTCGGGCCGTAAGTGCGGTGATATATATTCAAGGTAGAGCTAGTGTGTGAGTAGACCCTGAGACAAAGGAAACAAATGGCTTAGAGGGGGAAGGTGCAGAGGGCAGAGCAATTATAGAATCGCGATGGGGGGATAAAAAAAGACAAGTATGGTTCACATGTTGGCCAGTAGTACCAGCAGCTAGTGCTGTGTGTGTGGTTCTCTTTCCGTCTTTCTTTTCTCTCCCCCCCCCTCCCCTCTTAAAAGGCTAAAAGGGTGGGGCGTGAGATATCATCATGGAGCTGACTGGCCCTAGGTAACTCGTAATTATATTATCCAGGTCAGCTGATTGCATTTGGATTCGGCTGACTGGCCCTAGGTAAGTCATAATTATACTGTCAGGTCAGCTGATTGTATTTGGATTCGATCTTGGGTCTGTGTTTCAACAGTCCATGTGTGTACTGACTGAGCTAGACCCACCACTAACGGCGTGTGGTTTTACTACCATTCCTCAAAAGATGTCAGGATCCACACTCTGTGGCTACAGCTCATTGGTAATATTCTCATGGGTAATATCTGGACCACATAAAGCTTGAAGATAATAAATTGTTGACAGGTAAGCTCATAGATCAATAAGAAATAAAGAAATAATACTAATGATTTGAAAAAGAGTGACCAAATAGCTCGCGAGCCTTTTCCGCTCTTTTCCAACACACAGAAAGTCTGCGAACGCCATCAACTTTTTTGTCCATGTCCAAAACATGGCTGTGACTCATTCCTTTCGAGGAAACTTAAACGGGCCTTTACGAATTAGACCCCAGATGAATGCCCCAACAGTGAGGGGCCCTGTCGGCTCAAATTTAAATTCACGAGCAGCAATCCAAAAGACAGTTCTTGAGGCAAATGTCGCATCCATAATGAAATGAAAAGTCGTTTTGAACAGTCACAAACAGGTCCTGCACGAACAGCTATTGGATACAGTTTTCAAGACTTGAGTTAGGGTCATGTCTCCTCGATGGAAAGTCGTGTCTGTTCGGCAATAAGTCAAAGGCCACAGTCCCAGTCCAGTCATAATCCCACGAGTCAGTCCTGATTCAGACCATGAGTCCAAAAGACAGGTCCGATGGCGCAAAGCAGCAGCAGACCATGGGAAAATATACTGGGACACACACACTTTGCAACAATCGGTACTGGGTGGGAGTCCCAGGTACCTTTGAGGCTGAATGCAGGCCACGCCAGACCAGTCCAGCACTATAAAGGACTGGCCAGCCTCCTCATTCGGCAGATGCTTACTCGGCATGAAAGTGTGGAAGTGCCGTGACACTTGTGCGCTAGACGTGTGTGACCTGCGCTAGGCTGAAGAGCAGCGCTATGAGAGAGGGAAGTGAGCGGTGACCGGAGGGAAGGCAGCCATAGCTGCGCCAGTGCTAGTTAGTATGTTAGTAGAGATAGTCAATAGGAGACACCAGTGAGTGGTATTCAGAGTAGATCCTCGTGTGATAGGGAGTGTGCATGCGTGGAGAGTGTGAGTAGACCAGGACTAAAGATATAGAGGGAGAGAGAGAAGAAAGCAGATGAGAGAGTGGGAGGAGAGAGCTATGGTGATAATCACCTGTTGAGCGCTGTTGTTGACATTTGGCAACTGGTGCTGATGAGCGCCAGGCCTGGAAACTCATGCTGATTGAAGAAGACTTGTAACTCTGTTCGGCGTTGTACATTTTTGACTCTATAATCTGGGTTTGATAATTGAGTTGAGGTTCCTGGTTCTCATTCATCTTCTATTGGGTTTTGTGTGAGAGATCGCAATCTTTGAAAATCTGTGTATATGTATGTGATCTGATGCACTCCAGCAAGTGATGAACAGTCGGGTTCCTTGCAAACTGGCCGAAGGCTTTCTGTTTTCATATATTTGGGTTCGTTCTGGGCTCCACTTCGATCAAAGTATGGCGAGCCCTTTTTTTTTTGCCTTTTTTAAAAGAAGGGCAACGGGCTTTGATATATCGTTATCGACCTGACGGACCCTATGTAGTTCAGAGTTGTAGTATTTTAGTCATCTGCTCTCGGTGGAGTTCGAACTCAGGTCTTTCTTTAAGTTTTTTATCAATAGCATCGAATAGCATCGAGTGGTAAAGAAGGAGAAAGTGTCACCTGAGCGGTGATAGGCACGGTGTCATGATGCAAGGATGTGCTTACTGTGAGATGTAAAGCGTTGTACTGCTTGCGAAGACTCAATGTTCTGTGTATTCTCTGGGAGGCAGTTGGAGTTGCGACGCTATGGGATGTCGGTGAACGCTGACGAAAATCATTAATCATCGTACTTGATGTAGAGAGGGCCAGGAATGGTAGCAGTGTTGGAGGATGTAAAATTGTTTTTCGCTCCCAAATGAATCGAACCAGTCGGTGCCAGGCTGGTGAATGGAAACGCCCGTCCTCCGCATATGCCGCCACCGGTTTTGGTGGAGGCGCCCCCCTGCTAGGGCTGCCTTAAGCTAGGGTGAAGGTGGCGCGGGACACGAAAGATGGACGATTGGTCGTGGGATATGTGACTTACATCCACTATCTTATTCAATATTTTCTTTCTTTCTTTTTTTCAATTCAAAAATTTCATCTTGATTGGATACGAACTTGTGTGTCCATGTACATCGGTTAGAAGGATTGGAACTATACACATAAGATTAGCATGACTGGCCCATCGAAGAAGCTCGGTCCTCATGCTACCGGCTGACCCCTGGCCGGTATCGTCCACCTGCTTTAGCAGATATAGCACCTGCTTGTGGGTGCAGCTCCCGCATGTTCCCTCGTTGGGGGCTTGAGCATGGATGTGGCTGCGTCGGGGTTCCCCGTAATAATATAATGACAATAAAAGAAAGGCCTGAAAGACCCGCCTCTCCAGATTCAACAGGTAATTGAATTGTTCGGGCTTAAAGAATTAGCCTTTTTTAAAAGCAAAACAAAAAAAAGGATGGCACACGAAAATAAAAAAAGGACCCCCCCCAAAAAAAGAAAAAAAACGCTGTAAATTTGAGTAAAATGCATCATTTGTACCCTCATGCTTCCTGCCGTTTGGCCGAAGGATCCCCGGACAGCATTGACTGCTCCATGTTACAGGAGGAATGACTGTCAGCTTGTATTTTATGGTTTTGATAATAAAAAAAAAAGCGTGACGGCCTTGAGATATCCTCATTGAACTAGCCGACCCCAGGCAATTCAGAATTTATTTTATTCTGTGCATCTGGTTGCATCTGGATTCAAACTTGGGTCTGTATTTCAATAGTTCAGGCAGGGGTGTACCGACAGGGCTAGGCTGGTTGCCGGGGGAATAGGAATCGGGGTGATCCTCCCCAACATGGATATGGAGCCAGGGCCATAAGGACCTCTTTTTTTTTTTTTAAGTTGTGTCCATCCTGAATGAGGATTGTGTCTATGTGTAGCTGACCGTCTTTGGCAATTACGGACTTCGTTTCTCTCTTTCTGGTTTCCCTGGCTCAGGTGGTGGCCTTGATGAGGTACTTGGAAAGATGGGCATCTTTTTATTCCAAGACATTTATGCAGTTGATTCCCCCAAGGAGTATTCCAGGTCTGCCAGTGCCATCAATGTCACAGGTATGCATTATTTTATACCATATAATAAAAAAGAAAGTGCCGGCAACGTGTCTGGAGCGTATTTTCTGGCTGTGACAGACCTTTCTTTGGTTCGTGGGTGTTTTGAGGGCTGGTGATGGGGTGTGAACCTGCAGTCTGTAGAGTTTTCCATGTGGTGTGGGTGAGTGCTAGTCTGCTTTGATTTGCGGCACAGGTACCTTGAGGGCAGTGGCTGGTGGTCCCCACCACCTCAGGAAGGTATCAGCTGTTTGGCAGTTGTTGATGCTTAACTGCAACCGGGGTTAAGGTGGATTATCACTTACAGTGTAATCATTTAGGGGACTCTGCAGACTGTAGAGGGTTCATCCTCCTGACGAGTCAGTGAAACTCCGATGAAACAGTTTGTCACAGGCCCCCCTCGCTTGTTGTCCTCTTCTCCCTCCCTGCCTACGTTTTACCGGGCAGTGTTGCACACCCCGACCTTCGTCGACCCTTGACTGGTTGGCTGGTCGGCACCTACTGGTCGGGGGTCGTCGGCACCCCACAAAAAAAAAAAAAAAGTTCTTTTTGGGTCCAGAACCCCTAATAACCCCACTAACACCCCCATACC